TTAGAAGTTCCGCCTAAACAACCTTCATCTCCAATGTTTTTTTGACCTTGCCACAAACACACACACACACAAACTCTTTATTTTTATATGACCCTCCCTACAGTTGAGGGAATAAACTTGGAAAAAGCGATACGGATCCAACACTGATTTTCAGAGTAATAAAATTAGGCTCCGGTTCTCTGAAGTGTCAATTGCATAATTTGATAGTTCGACGCACTTCTAACAAATCTCTACTCATATAGTCGACCAATGGATACTCAGTTGCGATACTTCATTCATAGAAAAATGGTTCTTTACTTAATCATCGTTGAACTCGACCGAACTCGGCCCAAACTCGATCCTCTGAACTCGAACTCGAGCCTTCAACTTTGCACTCGACTCGAACTCGAAATTTGAGTTTCAGCTCGATCGAGTTCGAGTCAAGTTCGAGTATAAAAAGTCGAGTTCAAACCGAGTTCAATCTTGTTAAACTCGGTATCACAACTCGAAGTTGTGTTCGGGTTTGGTACATGTCTACTCTTTGCAGAGTGCAATTTGTACTTGTATTCGCGCAGCCCTCGAATACTCCCATGCCGTAGTTTACTTTTATTTGCTCTGTGTTCACTGAGTTTCTCCGGGTTTTCTGGACCATTATCACAGAAAAATGAGTAGAAAATCGAATTCCATTTTTTCTTTATATTGGTATACGCATATTTGTCGAGTGTATTCTGTGAAAAGTCGGATGCGTTGGTTTAGTGTAATTTTTCTCTCTTCATTTTGTTGCCGCTACCATTGTCAACCATCTTATGAGAATACCCGTATATGTTAGTTTATTCTTATTCGCTCTTTCTTCATTGAGTTGCTCCGACTTTTTCGGTGCCGTTATGAGAGAAAAATGAGGGGAAAATCGGATTCCATTTTTTTTCTTTATATTGGTTTGCGCATATTTGTCGAGTGTGTTCCGTGAAAAGTCGGATGGGTTGGTTTAGTGTAATTTTTCCTTTCTTCATTTTTTGCCGTTATTATTGTCAACCATCTTACGAGAATACTCCTATATGTTAGTTTATTCTTATTCCCTCTTTCTTCATTGAGTTGCTCCGACTTTTTCCGTGCCGTTATGAGAGAAAAATGAGGAGAAAATCGGATTCCATTTTTTTTTCTTTATATTGGTATGCGCATACTTGTCGAGTGTGTTCTGTAAAAAATCGGGTAGGCTGGTTTAGTGTAATTTTTCCTTTCTTCATTTTTTGCCGTTATTATTGTCAACCATCTTACGAGAATACTCCTATATGTTGGTTTATTCTTATTCCCTCTTTCTTCATTGAGTTGCTCCGACTTTTTTCGGTGCCGTTATGAGAGAAAAATGAGGAGAAAATCGGATTTCATTTTTTTTCTTTATATTGGTATGCGCATACTTGTCGAGGGTGTTCTGTGAAAAGTCTGTTAGGCTGGTTTAGTGTAATTTTTTCTTTCTTCGTTTTGTTGCTATTAGCATTGTCAGCCATCTTATGAGAATACTCGTATATTTTAGTTTATTGTTATTCACTCTTTCTTCATTGAGTTCTCCTGATTATTTCCGTGAAAATTGTGCGAAAAAGTGCCACAATACTAACTCTGGTTTGTGTTCTGAGTTGAATTTTTGAGATCACTGTCTTGCGTTCCTTAAGAAATGTCCAATGGGTTAGTTTAGCTGCGTATTTCTTCCGGTATTTATTTATCGTTATAGTTATCGATGTCCATGTGAACAAAATCGAATGCCAGAGATGGGCGAGGATTCTTATTCTGTGGGAAATTCTACGTATAGTTCACGCTTTGTTGTTGAGGACATGGTAAATTCTTTTACTATTCTAATCTGTTCGTTACTTGTATCCCTAATAGTTCATAAGCTTTCTTTGAAAGAAAATCTGTCAATAGAATTTACCTTTCTATCTTTTTTCTTCTTTTATTTATTAAGATAGTTTTGCGTAATTTTTCTTGAAACATAGGCTCAATTACTTTACACTAGTTTTCTTCTTCATGGTATAATTGGCCGTCTCACGACTGAAACAGACGAAAATAAGTAACCTCTTCCCCTTTTTCTCGTCTTGAAAGTGTTTTATATTTTTTATAATATGTTATGAAATGAGCAGAATAAAACGGTTTAGTTTCTCGGTGTTTTTTGGTGCAGTCTTCTGCATTAGTGCTCTCGAAAAACGATTAAGTTCTCTCGGATTTTCAAACGTTTCAGTATTTTAAAGATGATTTCCATAGCTTTTTCGTAAACTATGTAGTTTATAGAATAAAGGCTTCTGTTTACCGTCTCAGAGGTCCTCATAATATTAAGGACCGCTTTGAACATTTCTTCATAGGCTTTCATCTGCTGTTGCACAAATTCTTGGCGCACTTAGTGATTCTCATAAACCACACTGAAAAATTTTCAGGCGTCATTGGTACGATTCATGCCGATGCTGAACTCTTTCAGAGATCCTTTTAGAAATCGTTGGCACATTTATTGATTCTCATGAAACTTCGGCGCGATTCATAATTGACATGAACTCCTGGCAGATGCGCTTTGAATAATCAGTTTTAAGGTCATTGGAAAGTGTTTTGGAAGCTGATATACTATTTAGAAGAGTTTATGAAAGTGCAACGTGTAGCAAACTCTTTAAGAATTCATGAATGTCGTGAACTCTTGTGTAAACCTTTCACGAGTGCTATTTGAAAGTGATAAGCTTTTTCATATACCTTTACTAAATGATTTAAGGAAGGGCTGACGAAGATTTTATAAACAGGTAAAAAGAGATTTTTATACATTGCACTTTCATAAGCCCTTTAAAGGTGTGGGTGTGGGTTTGTGGTGGAAGTGTGGGTGTAGGATGTGGGTATGAATTTAGAGAAGTGATGCAGTCGCACCTTAAATCCCCATCCACAACACACTTTGGGATGAACATCTATGAAAAAAAGAGAAATCATTATTCCACGCTCTCAAAATGGCAAATGACTTTTTCAACAAGTGTAGAAGTATCGTTTTCTGAACACGTACGAGTTCGGGTGTCGAAAGAAAGCTAAATGGAAGTGTCTTATTTTTGAAGCTGTAAACTGAGGATGTCGATCTACCTAGCATAAAAGATAATTTCACGAAAATCTGAGGACCTTGCAATCTAAATCTCTGATGAAACTGTGTCTTTTTTATTTTTAATAGTCGAACATGTTGCACAGAATCAAACAAATCAAAAATATTCGTGTATTCAGGAACTACGAAGATCAACGCGATGAAGTAATTTTCAAAAGATTGACGTTGATTTATGGTAGCAACGGCTCGGGAAAATCAACATTAGCGTTCATACTTCGTTCTCTGAATAAAAACACTCCTCTAGATGGAGTGAAAACGGCCTCATCTTTTCCGTCTGATACACCATATGTTCATGTTATTGATGAAGATGATAATACGTATACATACGGGATAAGTCCGTCAACAATTACTGATACAGCTGTGGTAACAAGCGGTTCATTCAGCAGCCCAGAAAAAAGATGGACATCATCACTTTCAAATATGGAGATTTTCGACGAGATATTTATTGAATTAATTTCGAAGAAGATAGGAAAGTCGACGGAGGCAGAGTTATTTTATCCATCTCGTGAAATTAATAATGAACTCTATGGTTTAGTTGCAAAGCAGATTGCAATTCATAATGAATTTAAGAATCAACTGCATAAAAACAAATTTATTGAAGCAGTAAATGGGACCGATGCGCGAATCAGTATATACAGACGCATTGTGGCCAATGATATGAATCAGGACGTGGATGACAGTTGGGAACTGGAGGATGACACTGGCACTGATGGACTAAGCACTGTTGAAATATCACTGAAAGACGTTGATGATTATAAGATTAATCATGCTCGCATCCTTGGTATGTGGTTTTATTCTATTAAATTTCAGCTTTTCTCGAAGCTCAGATGACTTAAACAAGGTTGTCCAATCTTGCGTGGATTCTTAGGAAAAATATTGCGGTTACCTGTAAGCCATGAAATTACACAAATCCAAAGATTTGTTTGAAAAATGCACTGTGCCTAAAGGAGTATAGTGTAGTGTTTAACAGCTTTTCTGAGGTAATATATGTATCGTCAGTTCTTTTGTGACAGATACGAGTAAAAACGACTAAAAACATTTTTAAATCAAAGAAATCCTTTATAGTGCTCTGAATCGCTCTTGACAAATCATAATGCTTCAGACCTCGCTTCGGTGCGCATCGGACATGATTTTCATGTAAAAAAAGTCGATTCAGGCATGTTCTGTAGGTGTAGATAGCATGATGGATTAAGAGAGTAAGTTGCTGAAGAACCTCAACACATGTGTTTGGAAATTTTAGGAAGAAGTTCAGTCTTGAAGAAAAATTCTATTTCACGTACAGATATTTATTGCTCAAAGGTTCAACTACAGCCATATCTCAATGGATATCCTTTACTCACCCCGATAATTTTGATGAAACAGATTATTCTGCAAATATTCGTTTCTTTATTAATGTAACTAAGTTACGCTTACGGGCGAAACGTTATCAGATCTAGACCTTTTCAAGTGTGTGTTATTTGCCTCTTGTTTCTTAGAATTATGTGTTGAAAAGCTCGGACGAAGAGATTTATTGCGTGACGACTATAAGGACACTGTAAATAAATATTTACAAGATTTCGGCACTGAATTAAGTATTAGCCATATATCTAGTGATATATTTCCACGTGATATCAATCCTAGTGGCAGTCCTTGTGGTCCATTTGGATATTGCAGGCTTATAGCCAAATGCAAAGCTGTTTATTATGCCATTAATTTTCGGAACAAGCAACTGCTTGGGGACATTCATTTAAATGAAGGTAACAAACGAGCACTGGCTATGTCATGTTTTTTGGCTAATCTTGAAATTGAGAACAAATACTCGGAAAGAATTGTTGTCTTTGATGATCCAATCACATCATTTGATTCTGAGAAAAAATTTATTACACTGGCTATACTCAAGAGTTTATTGATTAACAAAAATGTTAAACAGATGATTGTTCTATCGCATGATGCAGATCTGTTACATGAATTAGCGACAGATGTAGAGCCAGAAGGTATTCAAGTATCACGATTAGAGGTACAGATATCTCCAGATAATAACACTTCAAGCCTGACGTAAGCTCACGACAATGAATAAAAAATTGAATCTTCATTTTCTGCGTTTGTTTTAGTGTCATGGATGTCCAGAGCGTCTATGAACAGCAACTTCAATATCTACAACAATACCAAACTCAACCGACTTCAACTCAAAAAGATAGAAGATTAATGTTACTCAATGTTAGACTTGTTCTTGAAACGACTTTAAAAACCAAATTCGGGTCTTTAATTCAACAACAAAGGTCGCCCCCTCAAATGTTCGGTGGTTTAATTTCACTCCTCGATAAGCACAGGGTCACCTTTCGAGATACGGACACTGCTTCTGTAATACGTGACCTTCGTGATATTTCTAAAGTATCAAAACATCTACATGGCACCGATATACAAATACCTGGGCATCTCTCGAATGACGATTTGGACAAATGGACCAAAGAGAGGCTACAGACACTAGTCTCTGATACCTTGAACTTGATCAACGACAGAATTTAACCGTTTTTAAAAAAGCAGCAAGTAAAGGTGTGGGTTTGGGTGCAAGTGTGGATAAGTGTGAGTGTGGGTCGGTGTGGGTACAGTCCTCTTCTGAACCGTACATTCACACCTACACACCACCCCACCCACATCTACAACCCACCAACACCCACACCTATACCCTACCCACGCGTATACCCCACCCACAACTACACCCCACCTACGCCCATAGGCGGCGCACCAGCAATGCAATGGTTAGCAATTGCAACCCCT